AATTGGAGAAGTTTCGAATTTTCTCAACATGTAGAACATCGGATCTTGATTAATTACTTCTGAATGGAATACTTGGCCCCTTTTGGTTCAGTTGTTCTGAATGGAAATCAGATTCTATCAACCTAATCAGTTGTTTAAGAGCAACAGAGCCAAGCGTGAGCACCATCAGAATGACCGAAGCTGCTCACCTTGATTAGGCTAAACCTGGTTCATCTAATTTGGCACCTTGGTCAATATAGGTCGCCTGAAGTAAATTTTACTCTTATTTTATTTATTTGTACCATATGTACATTAAATTACTACTTGTATATATGATTTACGGTGTTTGAAAATTTTTTATGTGTGATGAACTTGTGAAGTAGGACTACCCAGTGAAAAATTTCTGGCTGCGCCACCGGCTCTAGTAGCTTTCCTTTCCTCTTTTGTAAGCTTTGTACTTTTATTAGAATACTCTTTTTTATATATTTATGGTATTGAAATACTTTCCGAGTATATAAATGCCAACTTTACTTTATGTTCATGTTATACTAATTATACTGCTAGCTTATCTGGTAGATGCATAGGTACGGGTATAATGTTTGCTTATGCAATTACTCTATGTCATGACGATGATATTAGAGTAGTATATGGTAGTTTAGGTGTGGTGTCTAGATTACGGGATATTATTATTTGGGGTTATATGCTGCGGATGAGAGGTGGCCCACTGATGGTGACAGCTCAGTACGGGTATTTCTCCGCGCGTGTATATAGTCCTAAGTTAATTTCCTGGGGAGGGTACTCCTCCGCATTTAGCCCCGGTTGTATGGTCATAACGGACTGTCGTAAGGAACTTGGCAGTCAAGGGTGGCTTCTCGAAGTACCAGGAGGGCATAGGATAGAGGGTATTAGCTAGTTAATCATATAACTAGAATGTATATATACTATGTATACTAGAAGTATAAGAATAGATTCTCTTTTATTCTCTTTTCACTTAGCTTAGATATTTTAGGGCTCCTTTGAAACAAAGGAAAAACGGAGGATGTGAATTCCTATGGATTCATTCACTGTAGCAGCCTTTGATTTGTAGGAATTGGTCATAGAAAAACTGAAGGAAATATTCCTTCGTTGCTGATTCTACGGGAGAAACACAGGAAAATTTCCATCCAGTCTGAGCTCGTTTTTCACTTGCTTTGCGTAGGATCGAGGCAATCAAGCTCCTAATCTCTTTCTTCACTGCAGGAGAACAAGCAATGAATGGATATAATTTGTGTTAGCTGCAGTATATTTATTAGAAATAGAAAGTGGGCCCAAGTTCTTAAGTAAATATTCTTGTGTTTTTCCTATACCCCATTCAAACGCATACTCCTATACATTTCCTATGGTTTTACATTCCTCTGTTTTACACGTGAATTCCTATCATATTCCCGTGTGTTTTCCTATTCCTGTATTTTTTCAATCCTATGTTTCAAAGGGGCCCTTAGTATGAGAATGAGTAGTTCCCTGCTTGTGTGTCACTCTATCCTTTGATTTATCTTAACCCCCGCTTAGACTATGGTTTATTACAAGTAACATATAAATTATTAGTTCGGTTATCTCTACTATGATCTTCCCACGAGATTAAATAAATATGATACCCTTGGAATACTCTCGAGTGAAATGCTACAATGGTTTATCCGTGCGCTTGCGGATGAACTCTGTAACCATAATATACCAGGAGTATTTCTACACCATTGCTGGGAATTATATTTCTAGTAATGTCGTTAAGAAATACCAACAATTATCTTATATGATAGAAAGCGCAATTTGGATGGGGTGTCTCTTGGATGGGGTGAAATTTTTAGTAGGGGTGAAATTTTTAGTAAGTATTGATCACCTTGAAAGGAAGGTGTTGCCTAGAGGGGAAGGGGGGGTGTGAATAAGTCTTTTATGAAAATTATTACAACTTTAAAGCGGGTTAATAAGCAATCAAAACTTTGGGTTCAAATCAGAGTTTCTGATATGACATTGGAGTTTCCGATATGAACCTAAAGTTTTAAATCGGAGTTTCTGATTTGACATCGGAGTTTTTGATATGAAGTGGAATGTTCAACAACTATGAGAGAAACACTATCTATGAACTTTTAGCTTAAACAAATCATATGTATATGAATCAAAAGGTGATAAACAAAATATATACACAATATATATGGTCACCAAGTACTAAGCATACAAATAGATCGGGTAAGAATAAACTAAAGCACAATATGAATAAGGCAAGAACATACAAACCAAAAGAGGAGACACATGATTTGTTTACTAAAAATTCGGATCCACTGATCCAATGTCTCCATTGAGGAGCCACAAATGCCATATCCTCACAAAGGTGGTGTTTGAATCTCCTGAAGATGAAGATGAAGATTAAGTGTTTCACGCAAAACGATGTGGTAGTAACGTGTGATTAATTGAATTTTAATTATTACAAACTTGAAAAATGGATTAATCTGATATTTTAGAACAATTTTCATATAGAAAGTTTACGCACGAAATGTATCGTTTAGCAGTTTGAAAAATGTGCCATTTTAATCCAAAAGTTTATCCTCAAACTTCAGAGGAAACGAATAGGGCCAAAGTCTTCACAAACCATAGATGCTCACAAGTGACTCTTAGCTATCTAGGAGACCTCAATCTCCAAGAGCAACAAATGACCACGAAATTTGTTGGGATATGAACTCTAATGATCAAGAAACAAGATTTGTTCTCACCACTAGAAACCCAACTCAAATCCACACCCACAAGATTCAAATCACAAAAATCAAAGGGGATTTAAGAGAGAGATAAATCAATAATCAAAGCACTTAGCCCAAGCCTCAAAGCCACAAAGAATCAGAATGAAAAGGGCTAACCTGACAAAGGGTTTGATTGGGGGTTTAAATAGATCCCCAAAATATGACCGTTGGGGGGAATATTTCAGCACACATCAGATAGTCCAATTTTATCGCCCTCCAAAGACAAATAAGAACGAGAGATAGAGAGTGAAGTTCAATAATATTTTGGACTCTCTAAGACATCGAACAATTTGATTTAACATAGGATAGTCTGATGTGTCTAAGCACATGTTTCTCGTCCTTAAGCAAAGACCCAAGTTTGGTGATATTTCGGATTCTCTGGATCATCGCATAGTGTGATGTATTTCGATTAGTCTGATGCTGCTCAAATAAAAAGGCAAGAACTTTTTTACTCCTGAGTCTGATTTCGATGATTTTGGGCTCTATGGAAAGCTTGTTTTGAGAGATAAATCAAACCCAGCGTAAAGATGATTCAAAAACTTCAAGAGATGTTTAAAAGAAACCAAGTGTAAGTGTTGTGACATGTGAAATAATCCGGAGTTGGTATCTTGGTTTAGGTTTTTTAACTCACACAATGATAAATAATTTTGAGCACTTGAGACATAACTAAGGCTTCGCTATAGGAAAGTTTCTTTAAAAAATCATATTGATCCATTTCTCAAGTTTTTGTTAGCTATCACTGAATTAATCATGCACTAATAAGTTGATTCGTTTCCGTTCTAGAGAGAATTGTTTCGAACAGACCGGTTCGAATGCAACCTAACCAAACACGTTTGCATCTCTTTTGATAGTATGGCATTCATATACTCAATCCGGTTTTACTATAAACACCAAGACCGGTAAAAAGGCTAAAAAAACTTTTACTATAAACACCAAGACCGGTAAAAAGGCTAAAAAAACATACTTAGCTTTATTATACCTTTGCCTTGTGCACATCCTCGTGGCCTTAGTTTGTTGAAAATGAACATCACTCTCTTTAGTCAATACTTAATTCATCATATGATGTCCGGTCACTTTCATTTATTTAAGCTACTTGATGCCCTTCAACTTATGCCATCTATCCTTTGCCTTTCATCAATCTCTTGATGTAGATCAAGGCATGATATCCATCTTTTAGATCTTTATCTTGAGTCTTTAGGAGTCTTGATCTGACTTGAGCCTCAAACATCATTTTTAATTCTTGAGATCTATTTCTTTTATTCAACTAAATGACATTGTTAGTCCAAATGATTCGATTGTCAACCTCCACTTGTTGACCAACCAATCGCATATACACCACGTGTCATATAGTCAAAATGTAAAGTTCCCAATTAAGTTTAAGGGATTAGCTTGGCTCAAAGACATGCATAACTAAAATATAGAATTTGCTTCCCCTAAATATATCTATATAAAATATTTGTGTGAAGCAAGAGTATACATTGAGATGAAACATTGGGAGCTTATTCTATACCAGGATAGAGGTTCATTATCAACAAAATTAAATGTATTGTGGTTCAAAATTAATTGTATTGGTTTTAATGTCATAGAGACGACGAGCAAAAGAAAAATAGCAAAAAACCTCCATCACCGGTGGACTCCACCCTATCCTCTGCAGCCAGCCATATGGAGCACGATGTGCAAATGTAGGACCTGTGCAGCCCATCAATTTAGATAAGGTAATATTGGAGATTATATGTTAATTTGATTTGCAAAAATAAATTAGGGTTCATGAGTAAAGGTAAAGGAGAGTTTTTAGATTGGTGCCATTTTAAGCTATTGGTAAAATTGACAAATATATAGCTACATTTAGTTGTTACCAAACTTTGGTAATGCATAGGAAATTTTGGCAACAACACATTGATCACATTCTACCAAAATTTAATAATGTTGTTAACTTGCCAAAATTTTAGCATTACCAAAATTTACCAAGATTAATTTTGGCAATAATATGAAAAACCCTTAAACCAAGGAAAAAGAAAAAGTCGAGGGGGTGATCATATGGATTTATCCAGTATGAAATTTTGCTCCTGAGTCCTAACTAGTTTGCTCTGCTGAGCCGATACAATAAATATTTGCTGATACAATTTACGAAAATGCCCCTGAGAAGAAAAATCCTAAACCTCAATCCTCCAACTTCTCCCCTTCCTGAGCAGCAGTCGCCTCAAGGGTTTTGCCACCCGAATCGCCGCCGCCTCCGTTTTCTCCAGGTAAGAGACGCTTCCAACCCTAATCCCCCCAACACCATCAACGGATCCACCCACTGGTTGTCCGCCTGCTTCTCCCCGCCCCAATCCACCTTAGGAATAGCGCCTGGCTGGATCCCAGGCCGTTTGCTTGTTTGCGTCCGGAGATTGGAGCGCCGATTGGGATGAAACCGATCGGCCCTTAATGTTTATTTTTCCCCATCACGCGATTGTATTTGTTGCCTCCGAGAGATTCTGTGCTGTTGCTGAATCCAATTTTCGTGTGATTTTTGGCAGGGGATTCTGAGATATGGCCTTCTTGCGGAAGGTTGGGAACCTCGTCAGGCAGTCCGCAGGCTCGGGCTCGCCGCTGTTCCAGGCGGTCCGATGCATGTCCTCCTCGAAGCTCTTCATCGGAGGTTGTTGTCGTTTTCTCTGTTCCTCACTGCTCATCCATTTCGTTCTTTTTTTTTTCTAAAAAATATATTTTCTCTTGTTTGGAGGGGTATTTGTCTGATATTTTGCCATTAAACTGCTTTTTGTTCCTGCAGGAATCTCTTATGGTACTGATGACCAGAGTCTGAAGGAAGCGTTTGCTAACTACGGTGAAGTCATTGAAGGTATGTCTCTTGTTTTTTTGTTTTTTGGTTTTTGTTTTTTTTTGTTCATATTGATGATAAGCATGTTCCTATACGTATGAACAATCAGTAGTGGTGATATTTTTCAGCTAGGGTGATTGTGGACCGTACCACTGGACGGTCGAGGGGATTTGGTTTTGTAACCTACACATCCACGGATGAGGCTGCAGCTGCCATTACTGGCATGGACGGGAAGGTGTGTTGTGCAAACTTTGTTATATCTATTGGTTTGCAATTCAACTTCTACTTGAGGTTTAATGCATAGGTGTTTTATGTCTAAATTAATCTGGCATCCTTATTTGGTAAATATTTAAATCAATTTGACTTATGAATGCAATGCATATGGTGTATCAGTATGTGGTATGGTTGCTTCAAAGGCACTCTAGTTGGTACTGAAGATCTTTACTTTGATGTACTGCCTTGCAAAGTTAAAATTCTGAATTCCGTCAACTCCATTTTTCTCTTGCATTGCAAAGATTTGTTGGACTGACTAGGTGATGGATGAAAGTTTAAGTGGTTGGAAAGCGTTTGCACTGAGGAGCTTGGCTCTCGCACTCGCATATTAGGCTTTCTGCAAATTGATAAGGTAAATGAATATAAAGTTTCTATAGAAGTGGTGCAGTGGGAACACAATGTGAACATTCAGAATTGCATATGCACTGAACCTTCATGGCTCGCACTGATCCAGGAGCCATGTGCAATTTGCATTGGGTGCCGTGCACCTTCATGGTTGTCTGTGGGTTTCATCAAACCGGTTGTGTGTGTGTGTGTATGTCCTTTTTGCTGTGCTGAGCAGTCTGTTGTCATGGTCCACACGCAGAGACATGAATGGCCTGTTGTCGTTGGTGCCTCTTTGCAAGTGTGTTAGACAAAGCCTTCGTAGATAGATATCTGCTCTGAGACCATGGTACTAAATATTGGTGGTAGTGTCACACTATTGTGGCCACAATTGCAGGTGGGGAATGACGTGGACGATGTGAGGTCTAAACCCGCAAACGCTAAACCACGCCCTTGTCGTTATCAACCGTGGCACACCCGACTGACCTATTCACGAATAATGTTTCCTGCAATGCAAACGGAGAACACAAGAAGAAATAGATTGAGGCAACTCAGGTAGCTAGATAGGTAAATGCGCACAAATATGAAGAAGCAAACTTATATTTGCTAGATAATGAAGTGGTGAACTGATAGCAAAGAGGTTCTGAAGACAAACTATGATCTAATTGATCACGACCAATATCTGGGTGCATTTAAAGAGCAAAACACAACCTAAAAAAAATCTATGAAACCCTGAATGGGTACCTAGCTATTTAAAGAGGTGGGAGGACGACCAAAGGGCACCTAGGGTCGTTCTCTACCAGGTTGGTGCGCACTCATGTTGGGCCAATACTTGGACCGGGGTCCCAGACGAAGTTACAAGCCCAATGGCCCATGATAGGTGGCGCAACACCTTGTTTTTTCAATTGTGGCTGGTTCAGATGGAATTTGGAGACGAGGCTAGATCCGTTTTAAAAGATGACTTCGAGGGCTTTCCATCATACTAGTTAGGTGCCCATGCGTTGCTATGGGGAAAATATAGATCAACCTTATCGAAGCTCAATATGGTTGTGCTGTGGAAAACAAAATCAAATTATGCTTCTTTAAATACAAAAATTAGTTAGTGCATCAGGAAGCAGTCAAGGACATCACAGCATGAAAATTATCAAGGAGCATGCACTTGCAATTAGATATTTATGTACTGATAATGTGTCTAGACTATAGAGGGTCCTGATGTGTGACATTTCTCTATTTTCGTCTACTGATAATATCCATCATCAAAACTTCATGTTATATGCCTATAATAGGCTATATATATATATAACTGAATATTATCTCGAGAGATTACAACTGAATTTACATGATCAAATCCAATTCATTAAGACATAAACAAATACAAGTAAATTTCTGGATAATGCACTAATGCTCATAGCCATCTCTTAAGAGATTCTCAATACACCGAGTTGTAAGTTTGCATAAATATGCTGATCTTTAAGAAACATGAATGAATCACCGTTAATTAGGTACTGTAGCAAGCTGACATTGTCTGTTTGCTGTGAATCAGACGTTAAAAAACTTCAAAAATCACAACACTGCTCACCTCTGACATTATTGCAACTAAAATAAGAGGAGCCTTGTCAAGGTGATTGTCTCCGTATGGTAGATTGCCATTAATCCGTCCAATTCTCAATTCCATTATACTCGTATCTGCATCAAGCCGAAGAGAACAATCAACTTTGCACTCTTCAATTGTTTTGCTAGTAGCCTTTCTATCAACAAGAGGACGGGGAATCAAAGATGCAAATGTCAACTTTTATGATTTAGTGTAAAGCCCAATTGTATTCAATTATCTAGCGACAACAATGCTGATAAGTCATCGGAAGGAAAAAAAGAACTCCATTATTGACTATAGAACAAATGTCAGCGTATAATCACTTGAATTGCTTATATAGAAAGTATGTTGATGACAACAATATACAGTAAAATTAGTGACCGCTACATAGTTCATGCACTACAACATATTTATTCTTCCCCTACATTAATTTTGATTACTCAGAAGTGTTTTAGCAATGGAATTTTCTTTGCAGCCACATGACACGGTTTACGTTTTTTAATGTACATACAATTGCTTGATATAAGGGAGTTCACAGTTAACACAAAGCCATGAAGACTCAGATTTTTTTTTCATTTTTTATTTTTTAATTTTATTAATAGACCTTTCCGAAAACTGAACCTTTTGGCCACGCTGGCTGGCAGCGTTGTTTTGCCACGCCAGCCACGGTGGCGTGACAAGAGGCTGGCATGGTAGGACAACGCTGCCATGCCAGCTGCGCATGGTGTGACAAAGTGATTTGGCCACGCCAGGCAGTCTGGCTTGGCCAAACGTTTCAGATTTGGAAATACTTTTCGGAAAGGTCTATTAATAAAATTAAAAAGTAAAAAAGTCTAAAAAATAAAAAAATTTCGAGGACTCACCTGCTGTGCTAACTTGCACCTCTATCCACAAAAACATGCACCTACAGCTGTAAAAATAAGATGGGAGACAGAATGATTAGCTTGTTGCAAGACATTTGGTTGGCATACATGAGTGCCTAATCCTGAGAAAGGGCACTGCATGGTAGTAGAGGAATTGTCCATGCACTTATGATGAGTCCCCGCAATAGTTCAAGAGGTAAAAAGGGATTATAATTGTGAGTAGCAGAATCCTTCAAGCAAAACCCTGCATAGGCAAAGGATTAGTTGGTGAGATTTACATGTTATGTATCAAACAGAGAAGATTAGTGCCACAAAAAGATTATAATTGTGAAATGTAAGTTACTAAAAGATTAGCAGCTTATCTTTGAGTAGCACACATCTTTAGGACTACTTATATACTATCTTTTGCTGCAAAACAGCTTGGCAAATTGATAAAATTGGCACAATTCTGCTTGACTATATTAGAAAATTAACTAAGCAGAAATATCGATCAGAAAACTATAACAAGTACATCTGTTAGTAAATATGTTCCTAAATTATGGAAGTCACTGGAACATTGATAACATCACTTTGTATGGCAGAATTCATCAGAATCTAAAATCTACTTGAGATTTATTATTCCTGTGGTTTGTTCAGCACAATACTGTAGTGCTGAAGGAAATCATTGGCATAATAGTGGTGAACTCATGTGTGTCATGACTCAATCAAAACAATATTGTGTTATTGATCTTTGAGCATCTCAGGAAGAAGCAATTCTGCCATGATGTCCATCTTCGCTTTTTACTGAACATATTAAAATTAAAGACCCTAATGTCAATCAAACTGTCATTAACAATGCAAAAGAGAATAATATTTTGTTTTTCAACCCATACATAGAGATGAAACATTTGCAGTAATACATATACTTAGTAGTAAAGCCTCACATTTTATTAAATTATCAATGCTATGAAAAATGAAGAAAATCGAGCAGTTCTTTCAAGTTATCTTTTTTACATAAATGTATGAAAACACTATGCAGGCATATTGTGCCAGTTATATTTTGAGTTTTACTAACATCCATAATACCGCTAAAAGAAAATATAGATCAACGAGTGGATTTAGGAGCTACTTATTCCATCAAACGTTGATGTGTGCAAGACAGATCTTTCAGATCCAACCTTTTAGTCAGGCACAATGATCTGAAAAAGATACATGAGATAAATGGTCAACAAACATCATGGAAGAGAATTAGAATTTTTAAGTCCATCAAATATGATAATTTTTATTTTCTTAATCCTTCAACAAAATCTACATAGGAAATGGTAAACATAACACATGAACTACATCCTTTTAGTACATCTAGCACAAAGACAGGTGTTAATTCTTTTCCTGTGTCGCATGCCAAAAAATTTAGATCGGTTACAGCCGAGACAATAGCAGTATTCAGATTAGTTAACTGAAAGGCCTGGAAAACATCTAATGCGGAGAAAATGAACTTCGGCCTATGAATCATTGACCTCACCTTCATTGCTGCTGGTTCAGCAAAAGGTTGGCTGCCTGCCGAGCTAGGGCAAGGCTGCAGCCCATTCTGCTGTGGGTTCCTCTATTCCCCTCTTCCACGCCCATTGCCAGACTGCCTGCCCTCATGCCTTGCACCATGTGGGAATGGGGATGGTGACCGAGGATAGACTGATAGAGGAAGGACTGATGTGCAGCGGTGGGGAAAAGGAAGGCATGAGGTTTGAAATTCTCACGACATGTGGTGGGAGCTGTGTGATGTTGGTCGGATGAGTGAGCAAGCGACAGCAGCCTAGTGCCGTGCGGGGGTTGCTAGGGTCAGGGTGAGCGTGCGATATGGTGGATTTGGCGGTAGAGGTGGTGGCTGAGATAGATGGTCATGGCGGTTCGACCCTTGCTGTTGATAAATTGGCTTCGCGTGAAACTGAGTGGTGAGGGGAGGGATGACCAACGAGCGGAGGCTAGAGGGAGGGGAGTCAGCTTGGTGCACCGAAGAATGACAACCCTGATCTAGCAGGCTGACGGCAAAGGAGTTGGGTGAATGACGAGGGATGTAGCGGCATGGCGAGGGTTGTGTCAGACCGGCGGGCGTGGGCACGGCTACAGCAGCGTGTTGATGGTGAGGAGGGGAGGGGCGAACCAAGCGAGAGGGCCGTCGGCGTGAATGGGAGGGCACCGGCAGCACGACGATGGATATGTTGTATCGATGGACATGGAGAGTGGGATGATGGATGAGGCGAAGACGCTGCGTGGGTAGAAGGCGTGCGTGGCATAGGTGAGGAGCGATGCGGAGGTGTTACGAGCTATTCTATCTAGCGATCCATGCGTCTGCCGTGTCAGGAATCAAGACCACCACTACGGATTTTAAGTAGTAAGACTCATGGACCCAAAACGGAGCTAGTTTGCAAATTTGGCGGCTGTTTGAAGTCAATGCTATCTTGGGAGGCCGAATTGGATTTTCCACAATGTAGGGGACTTGGTCTCTATCTCGTCTTGCACCATGAGTGATGTCTCCAACTCCATTATATGTTCCCAAACATCGAGATCACCCCTGAACAAATAAATGTATATATTTCAATCACTAGTTAGCATCATATTCTTAATACAAGTAAATTGGCCATGTTAAGGAACGAGTTCACCGGTTGATATATGATGGAAACAATGGTCGGATCCATACTGTTCTTGGTGACATCATACCGCTGCCACAATGAGCTAGCAGTTCTAAATAGCGGCGTGGAACACAGTGGCTGCCATTGCAGCCCGAGAAGAAAATAACGGCCACTATTGCTGCCTGACAAGCGCAATAGTGACCGCTATTTTGCACAAAAATTTGAAAATTTAAATTTGAAGTTTGAACTTGTTATTTTCAACTGATTATTGTTGCTTCCTTGCCTGAATATTTATATGATAATGAGGATCTAAATATTTATTATCTTATCGATTGATATCATGTTTCATTTATGGAGATGTAGTGCATATATCTATTTGAACCTTTTATACTGGGTTTAGACTTGGTAGTCTTTATTTTGTTATGTTAGGAGGGTCATGAACTCATGATACATACACAATTAACATACAATTTTGAGTCTCTTCCATCCGTTATTGGAATATAGTGGCCGCCATCTGCAATAGCAAAGCCAATGGATGTGCAGGATGGCCATGCTTTGGTTGCAGCCAGTGTGGAACTGAATGTTGATAGTCTTGGGATCTTGGCAGGACAGTTGCACAGGGTGCATAATGGAGCATGTAGTGAAGTAGTGCACTTGGTTGAGCTGCATGTCACCACCAAGGGGATCAGCTTCCACGATCAAGGGGGGAATGTGGAAAATTGTTGAAGGGGTACCCCCAGGAAAAAGAAAAGCCGCTATAGATTGAGTGTTGCTGTTGGGGTTGGCGAGTTCATGTGAAGAAGGGGATTGGTGAGTTCATGTGGTTTGTCAACTCATGATTTTGGTGAGAGGAGCATAGGGCGAATGAGAGACATCCACCATTTGAATTTTTTCAAATAGTAAAGATATCCTGGCACTGCAATTTCTGTATCTTCAACATCATTATCGTGTGACTGGTTCTCTTAGAGACTGTTCTTCAATACTTCTTGGCTTCTGGTGCAATTTGATGAGCTGCTATTTCATTTGATCTATTCCTTGTTTGCTTGTTTTCATGGTCTGAATAGGGTTGGCAACGGGGCGGGTTGGTCTGGAACGCCCCCGCCCCGATCCCCGACTTCTCCACCCGACCCTGGCCCCGATTTGAGATACGGGGGCAACATCACCCGGCCCCGGCCCCTCCGGGGCCCCGCAACCCGATCGGGGCCCCGCAATAAGAGTGACCATTCCATCCAACCAGAAAAAAATTGCAAAACAATCCGTCGATTCAACAAGAATACTTGTACACAATCAGCAATTCAAGACTTCAGCAAGACCACTCCATCCAAAAACTAAATGCACAATCAAAATACTTGATAGCAGTAGTAGTTCATGCATCACTAACTTGTTGCCTGCCTGCTGCAGTGCTGCCCCTCGCAGACAGCTGCTCGTCCCGCTTGCTGCCCCAATCACTGCTTGCATGCCGCCCGGCTCACCGCATCGCTTGCCGCCTGCACACCGCCCTGCTCGCCGCCTGCACACCGCCCTGCTCACCACTGCGCCGCCTCGTGCCCTAGTCCATAGCAGCCTGCCTGCGCACCTTGCCGCCAGCTGTCGCCGGTTCGCCACGCTGCCCGATGCGTCAAGGGAGAAGGGCGAGAAACAGAGGCTGGAGGCGGAGGGAGAGGGGCGGTGGTCGGTGGAGCACTGGAGCCGTGGTCGCCGGTCGGTGGAGGCGTGTGGAGCCATGGAGAGTGAGTGGCGGCTGTGAGGATGAGGATAGGGAGAGGTGAGGAGAGAGGATAGTTAGGTTTTAGGGAGAGGTGGATTGGGCTTCTTGGGGCTGTATGGGCTGTATGTTCTTTTGAAGTCTAATATACCTGCCTCGGGTCTCCGTGGGTCACCCACGGGTGGATTTTCTCCCCCGTCCCTGCACCCGACCAAGACCGGGGCCCCGACCCCAAAGCCCTGCGGGTTGAAAACTATACGCGCCCCCGGCCCCGCGGGGCAAATTGCCATCCCTAGGTCTGAAACTGTATGGTCATTATAATATTTTCTAATTTCTTCCACGAGTCATCTATGACCCTCAGTAGCTATTGTGATCAATATTGGTTGGTTTGTATTAACAGATAAACCTCCTTCCTTTGATTGTTGCCCACTGTTCATGTAATATGTATTATTTTTCCTGTATCAGGATCTGCAGGGCCGGATTGTGCGGGTGAGTTATGCTCATGACCGTGGTAGCCGTGCTGGTGGCTATGGTGGTGGAGGCTACAGTGGACAGGGTACGTATGGTGGTGGCGGTGGCTATGGAGGTGGAGGCTATGGTGGACAGGATGCATATGGTGGTCGTGGTGTTGGAGGCTATAGTGAGGGTGGCCGTGGGTATGTTGGTGGTGGATACGGTGACGGTAACAATTACGGTGGGTATAACACAAGTGGTGGATATAATTCTGAAGGTGGGCGTGGTGGCTATAGTGTTTTTGAAGGTGGACATGGCTACGGTAGTGGCGGTACTGGTTACACAGGAGGCAGCGGCGGATATAATTCGGCCCCTGGAAATTACAGCAGTGACAACTTCAATCAAGGGGGTGCAGCACCTGGTGCATATGAAGGTGCAAACTACGGTGGAGGCAACAACTACATGAACAATGCAACCAGTGATGATTCCACCGGTAAGCTGGACGAGTTGTTAAATGATCTTAAAGTTGATGGTGATGGCAAAGAGGATGGTGAGGGCAAAGCGGATGGCGCTGGCCTGGTTAATGAGGATCTGAAAGGAGATGATGGTCAGGATGAATTGCTTCAGAATGATTTCAAAGATGAAGATGTGTCTGATGACTATGCCAACAAAAGACGTTAAAGTTCGCTCGACCATGAAGTCCAGTCCGGTAACTTTTCATGTGTTGCCGATGGAGGTGCTCTCCACAATCGCGAAATCCAAAGTTAAGACAACGTCCTGTATGCAAATAAGTTTCGTGTTGTAGCCATATATGCTGGACCATCGGGACTCTTTCGATATGCGGTCATTCAAAACCTGGATTAGTATGGATTCACTGCACTACAATCGCATCCTCTGTGGATAATCCATTGTTGCTCGGCTGCTCTCTTTGGATACAATCTACTGATAGACACTCCCTCCGAAGTCCGACCGTGTTATTCTTTTTTGGGTTAATTGGATCCATGCCATTATAAATTTTTGAGTTTTGAAGTATACCATTACAATTCATCTATTTGCAATGATACCATTGCAATTTTACAGCTATTTGTGATATGCCACTGGATACCCCTTCACTATGTTTATCAAATTTGGACCAAAATATCCTCGTCTTCTACATTCATCCCTTCTTCCTTCTCTCTCCTCTCTTCCGGCCAACAAACTCCGATGTGCTGCCGCCCGTCCCGCTGGAAGAACTTGGCGAGGGACCTGCTCGATTGGAGCAGGCAGGGCAGCGACCTCCGTGCTCAGAGGACACAACATTCAGGGCAGCCGACGGCCACGCGGTCTTGAGCACAGACCGGAAGGATGCTGCATCAGGGGACAAGAGGAACATGAGATTAGTTAGCACTTAGTACGACCCATTTCCTCCATCAATGAAAGAACCAAACTGATTAAGCATGCCTGAATTCAGATTAATCAACATAAATGTTATTCATATGACAAGATAAGCCTTTTCTATTCCTAAAATTCACAGTATCAATCAGTTGGCAGTAGCAACACTAGTATAAAATAAACTTGCCAACCAACGCAACATTCCAGAAATCACTAACTACGCAAGAAAGTAAAAACACAAAATTTCTTCAAACATTGAGACCCCTCAGATCTGTCAACACAATCGCAACCCCCAAAAAAGAGAACTTTTTCATCACCATCCACAAGCACTAGCAAACCGCATAAGCCGCACTATTTACTACTCCTCGACGGCGGCAGCGGCAAGCATTGGAGCTCTCTCTCCCCCGCGGTTGCCGTAAATGGAGGCAGGGACCTGCTGCAGCATGATGCGGGTGGCTGCTCGTTGGAGTTCATTGCCTGCAAAAGAGGAGAGAAGGGGAAGGAAGAAGACGGGGGTATTTTCGTCTAAAAGAATTGATAATTGAAGTGAAGGGGTATTTAGTAGCATATCTCTTATACTTATGAAATTGTAATGGTATACTTTTAAATAGCAAAATAGTAATGGTGTTTTTTAAAACCGTGAAATTTTTAATGGCATGAATCCAATTAACCCTTTTTTTTTGGCGATGCCCCATTTTACAAGGCGTGATGATTTTTCTGCTGATTTTCTCTCGGGAGTACCCTTCGCACACATGCAAATGACCCCTTGATACCTGCGTTTAATAACTAATCCATTAACTATTTGCCACTTTTAGATTTAGCTAATTATTTGTAAACCCACTGAATTACTCGCTGAATTCAGTGGGTTGGCACTGAACTGAACTGGGCCAGAAGAGATGAGAGAAATCGTTTCCACTAAAAGTTGAAAAGGGTGTTTAGTACGTGTTAGTTTTTTGAAGAATGGAAAGGTTGTTTCCCTAGCTAATTCGTTTCCCAGTAACACGAGTTGCTTGTTAAAACTTGGTTTTTAATTTTCTTTACAACGAAACATCAGCTGGTTCTATCCTGTATTTTTCGCCGAAAGCTAGAACTAAGAGCAGTAGAGCATGTAGTGATGTACAATGGTACAACACTTCCATCGAGATTAGGGTGAGTTCGAATCTCCCTCTTCTGAACTTATATTCTCTCGTTTTCCAAGTTGACTTTCGGAGAAAACTACCAAGTTGGATGCACAACAGGCAAAAACATAAATGGAAGCATGAACACACGAACAGATGCATGTATCCCAAATTTCCATACACACAAAAAAAAACCCAATCTTATAAACAAATCAGGCCCAAAACGCATGTTTGTAGTAAGACAAATTGAATCCAGAAGAAAACAAAGAGAAATCGAGTTGGAGAAGATAAAATCAAATACAGGCTCGAGGAGGACATGGGTCTGGATGCTTAAGGGGCATGAGTGTTGCAACATGGGTCTGGATGCTTAAGGGGCTCGAGGAGGACATGGGTCTGGATGCTAATCGGATATGGCAACGTCGACGGCGCGGCGTCGACGGCCTGGGGAGAAGGGAAGACGGTGGTTGTGGTGGAAGAGGAGGTGGCGACGGATCTGGCTCCTAACCATGTTGTCATCCCTGTTCCGCACCGTCAACCCCGTCTTCGTCCTCTGCTCCAAGCCGCCTCGGCCAGTCCGCAACAACAGTAGCTTGACGGCGGCCTCCTCGAATCCACTCCACCGTGCCGTCGGTCATCAACACGCGTCGGAGTTCTCTGGCTCCCACGCTAGCAACCTCCGCTCCGTCCTGCTCCACGTCATTGAGCGGCCATCCCGCTCGTAGTCCCCGAGCTTCACGTCGGCGCGCCAGTCAGGGGAGGAGGGACGCCGGTCGCCGGTCGCGGGAGGAGATGAGGACGCTAGTCGGGGGAGGAGGAGAGGGAGCTGAAGTCGCCGGCTCGCTGTCAAGAGTGAGTGGAGGAAAGTCCGAGAAGGGATAAGGGAGAGAGAGGGGGGTGGAGGGGGAGCTTTTTGTTTCTGGAGTCTGGGGCATTTGGTGTAAATTTTGAACCTCTACACAAAAGTGAAAGAAGGGACTGAAATATAAAATTAAAGCCATACCTAAAGCCACTTGCACTGTGGAGAACTCAAATTTTGGATTCGTAGCCCTAGCATACGTGGCACTTTGTGGCCTCTCATATAAGTGAGACGCAATGTGAATGCCCTATGCAAACCCTCCGACTATTCCTCTCCTTTTTTTTTCTTCTATCCTTTTTGTTTTGTTCACCGGATCTTGAATCGTGATGCTTAAAAGAATGTATGTGTTGGAAATCAAAGCTATTCACTCACTCAATCTCACAAGAACACAAGCGCACACACACAAGGACTCAGAACACAGAGAGTTTGCAAGTGCGTAGCACTCTTTTTCTGTTTTTCTCTCACAATGAAACTGATTACATTGATCTCTATTTAAAGATGCACATGACCTGCTTAAGCCTAAAGAAATGCAAGAATCCTAGATAACAAACTCATCCACGTCTAACAGAATTCTCCTAGTCAATCGCCGATACGTGCATGCAGCGTTCGACCGCTTCCTGCTCCTGACGTGTGCTGATCCCTTCGCCACATTTGCATGCATGGCTAACTAATTAGCTAGATGTACTCTCACCTCCTGGCAACACGATCAGCCACTACTCACTGCCAATCTCTCTACTCACTAAGCCATGCAGCACAACCACTAAGCTAGCACTCACGCCATGTAACACACATACATGTGACTTCTACTCAGCTACTACCATATAAATAAACATGCTGAAACTAAAACAACAAGATTATACTTCTAGTAATCACCCCCTTAATCTTGTTGGCTTTATTTGACACCTTCCATTTTTTTCTTCAAAGTAGCGTTGGCTCGTTGTCGGCGCTCGCGACTGCAAGCAACGCCTGCTTCTCCTTCAGACCAGCACACTTCTCCTCCCATGAATAATGCCCGTACCCTTGGCACTTGTAGCAGCGCACCTTTGCCTTGTCAAAGGTGTCCTTCTTCTTCTTGCTCTTCATGCGTTCCATCCACTGCTCTTCCGTGAGCAGTAAACGGCCATATGCTTCACTTCCATTGCCATCGATTTCATACCTTTCTTCCACGGACTTGAGACGGCCGGTAAGTTCCTCAACGGACAGCGTCTTCAGATCGATCAGCTGCTCGATGGAGATGGCCACTTGGGTGTACTTGGATGGAACCACACGAAGAAACTTCTTGACCACCATCTCTTCTTCCATCATTGCACCCAAGGTATGGATGTTGTTGACGAGGCCCGTTAGCCGCATGGCGAAGTCGTCTACAGACTCTCCTTCCTTCATGCGGATCAGCTCGAACTCCTTGCGTAGGGACTGCGCCTTCGCCTCGCGCACACGCTCAACGCCCATGCGCATCGTGCGCACGGCCTCCCACGCCTCCTTCGCGGTGTCCTTCGACGCCAATGTTGCCAACATTTCCGACGGCACCGCTTGGAGGATGGCCGCCAATGCCATCCTGTCGATCCGGTGCTCAGTGTTGCCGAGCTCAACAGCATCCCAAACACCTTGAGCTTGCATGTTTACCTTCATCAAGAGTGACCACTCGATGTAGTTGCTGCTTGTGAGCACGGGATAGCGCAATGTCACCCCGGCCTCCTTTACTTGCTGCACAACAAGCTCACGACTATCGTTCCTGCCATCGGTGCCGCTGCCGTCGGTGCCATTGCCGCTACTGCTACTGCGGCGGCCGGGCGGCGTGTACACTCCATCGCCAGACATGACAGTAGACACTCACCTCAGCTCTGATACCAATTGTTGGAAATCAAAGCTATTCACTCACTGAATCTCACAAGAACACAAGCACACACAAACACAAGGACTCAGAACACAGAGAGTTGTTTGCAAGTGCGTAGCACTCTTTTTCTGTTTTTCTCTCACAATGAAACTGATTACATTGATCTCTATTTAAAGATGCACATGACCTGCTTAAGCCTAAAGAAATGCAAGAATCCTAGATAACAAACTCACCCACGTCTAACAGAATTCTCCTGGTCAATCGCCGCTACGTGCATGCAGCGTTCGACCGCTTCCTGCTCCTGGACGTGTGCTGATCCCTTCGCCACATTTGCATGCATGGCTAACTAATTAGCTAGATAACACATACATGTGACTTCTACTCAGCTACTACCATACAAATAAACATGTTGAAACTAAAACAACAAGATTATACTTCTAATAGTATGGCTGCAACTTCTAGGTTATATGGAAATCTCTATCGTTCTTTTTTCTTCTTATTTTTTTTACTCGTCATTTTGTTGGAAACAGAATTGTTTTTCTTTGACTTAGATAGTAATATGTTAATTTTATTATAAACCAAAGTAGTATTCTTTTGTGTGCGCGATATTGTTAAATGGATAACTTAACCACTCAAATAACGAGGAGGTAGCTCAACTCACTAACTATGACCAAGCAAATAAAATCTCTTTTCATTCATATCCGGCCAACTAAACATCTTAAATCAGTCAATCTGAATGTAGTCCAGCAACCAAACAACCCAACATGGATTAGGCAAATGAGCCAGGCTACCTGTTATGTTGCTCGGTGGATAGGAACGAAGTGGTCAATGGGTTGGAACTGAGAGAGACGATAATAGACAGAGATAGAGATTGTTGCTATACAAGCCGATGATTAGAGGTATGAATTTTTTG